GGATGGTTGTGGCTCCCACCCCCGCTCCAGCTGCTGGCAGTCAGCTCTCGGCACAACTGGGGGTTTGAACCAGACAGGACGAGTGGACTTGAAGAACATATGATGCTGCTCCATACAGTTACGCCACGGGCGTGGTTAGGCGTGGTTTCAATTAATCATGCCTATGGGCATGGCAAATATGCAAAAAATGTCTAAATCTTTAAACCGTTGTGGGCGTGCCTACAGTGAGTGGGCGGTACCAAAATTGGGGGCGTGTCCAGGGGACGTGCCCTAAAAGGCTGTGCACTTGGTTTGAATTAATCATGTCTGTGGGCATGGCAATAGGATAAAGTCAGTTTTTTTCATTTATTTAGAAAACGAAAGCTCGTACAGGTTTTATTTCCGCCAGACTATACAAGGAGCCCTGTAGAGTGCATTGGCTCAGTTGCTTTCCAGATCTCGATGTGAGAACATCTCTCCATAGCCAGAAAGTGTTTCCTTGTGTTTTTTTTTCATTGTTTTTCATTGCTTTTTTTGATATTGTATTATAAAAACTGTTGTTTCTGAGTATTTATTTAATTTTTATAGTAGTTTGTTAGGACATTTTCTAGTTTTTTGTCAGTGTGTGTGTGTTGTATTGTCTGTCTCTGTGTTTGTTCTGACATTTTCTAATCATGTCAGATATTGCTGAGGTAGGTCTTTTGAACTCTAGTTCAATAAGTTCAGCAATCTCTCAGTTCCCAACTCTTAGGGAATTCCTACATGGAGACATCAATATCCCATTACACTCAACGTATGTGAGTGAGCCTGAGACCACTCGAGTTGAAATATGACATCGACGGTATTGTAATACAGCTCAAACATGCTCATGGAGTGTTAGGATTAATCCACTTCCTCCATCTTCCAGAGCTGCATTGGGGCCAGATAAAGGATTGCTYGCACTATCTAAAAAAACATTATGATCTGACCAGATGCAGTGCAGATAGCATCACTGCGCTTAAAAATTCTGTCGGCCATGAAATCGCAATGGTTGATGGAGGCTATCACGTGTTGCTCGCATTTTTTGCRGACATCCTTGGTTCAGCCAGACACAAGGCTCATGACAAAAAGAGATCTATAGGAGGCAAGCCTGTGATGCCTAGAACCACATTGTTTTAGAGGTCTGTAGGCAGCTGTCTATGGTGTCTGTGGCAGATAAAGCTAGAGCAAACTTCCAAAAACAAACTAGCAGTMACACAGACAACTACAATGTCCTCCGAAAATACCAGACGTACATTTTGTCTGTCTTAGATGTAGTACTCCATTCAAGTACCAAAGGGTTTCTGAAGCCTGTCTTGTTTTTAAATGTCTTTGGGCAAAAAGCCAAAGACACATTTGACTTGTACAAAACGACAAACCCTGAAGAAGTGGACAGTGTTTCTGCACACACAGCTGTCAAGGTGACTGCAAAGGATCCCGAGGTCCATTTGATGTTTGCGCGCTATGGACTACAGGACCTTGTTGGCTCTCGTGGATGCCTTTTTTCAGTTCTAGGCATCCACGAGGCCACAAATTTCCAGACTGATCTAGACAGGCGAAAGGTCAATGTTGCAAACGAACTGTCAGATGTGTTTGTGGATGAGGGAAAGTTGAATTTTTTTCAACTGTACGTCGATTCACCTCATATCCACGTAAAAACCCCTTTCAAACATCCAGTCACTGGGGCTCTGGTGACATGTGGTATATCACATCCACAGTTCCAAACAGCCCTGCAGGACAGGGCCAGAGCTTACTTTTACCACATGCAACATCTGCAAGAAAAAATGGTGGTGCAGCTTGGGCTCAGAATAGAGCAAGTCTGGCGTTTTGAAGACCCTGGTTTGGACTTCAAAGTTGTGCCAAAGCACCACTTTCATGAGGATGTATTGCTTGATCTGTTCAAGGAAAACGCATTAGTTCTTCCTTTCAAGGACACAGATGTTGAGTCTGGCCTTATGCCAACAGTCAGGGACCTCTTTCAAGGGTTTATTCAGGAGCTTGAACATTTGTTTGAGGAAGACCAGGGAGTGGCACTTTATGATAGTGTTTGGAAAAGCTTCCAAGTTGAACTTTCCCTGGAGGAAATGTTTTATGGGCATCCTCTTGCCTTAAGTGATTACCACTTAAGTGTTTCACTGGGAATGAACACGGTAAATCCCAACAGTTTGACCCACACCAGGAGCTTCATTGGCCTTGCACCTCACTCTGCTGGCAGTGCAGGTGAGGTGCCACCACATTTGGAGCACTGGACCAGGGACAGGACACAAAAAATGCATCTGGAACGCATCTTTCCAGTATGCCAGGTCTTAGAAGCTGCAACAGCAGTGACTGGTGCTTCTGTCCTGCATCTTCTGCTGTGCGACATCTATTGTTGTAATGACGACATTCCATAATGCAGCTCTAAAGGGTGACCACCCACCTGGAAGGCTTGCCGGTAGCTTGAAAGTGGAAGAGTTCTGTGAAGATCTTGCAACTAAAAAAAAGCTTTCCAGCACCATTCACGTTTGGTCATGCTCAAGAACTGTTGTAGAAAAAAGGACGATACGTCAAGGACATACTGGTACAAGGCTTCCTTTCGGAGAAGCTTTGCTTCTTTCCTGCTACCAAGTTCAGGGACATCCACGGTTCCCACAGACTCACGTGGAACTGCAAGGACTATGTGGTCCTTGAATCAGAAGGATAAACAACAAAACTTGGCCAGGTAGCTGAAGCAACGCTCAAGGTATGCACGGAGATTGAGAGGCGTTCCTTGAGCTACGCGAGACACCTCGAGAAATACCGTGACCATGGGATGCCTTGGATGGTAAAAGTGTTGGAAAGGCTTCCCAGCACATTGAAAGGACAGCTGCAAGTCAGTGTGCTCACATTCATCAGCTGCATTGGCATGCTGATGATTGGTGACTACATTGATTTTAATCACCTATCCACTGTCCTACAGGAAATGAGTCAGCATGTGTCACAGGCAATGCTGCAGAAATGGTGAATCCAATCGTGTTTCACATTGCCCAAGGTCTTCAAGTTTGTATGCTGGAAGCTGCACAAAGACCTTCCAGTCAGAACCGTCGAAGAAAAAAAACAGTCCCAGTTGTTTTCAAAAAGCTAGAAGAACAGGAAAGGAAGGAAGAACAACCATTTGAAGATGTACAGCAGGTGGACGACACCGAGGAGCTCCGTCCCATGTTTCGGTCCAAAGCAAGGACCATACCTGCCTTGATCAACAAAAAATGGACACGTGAAGAAGATGACCACATAAGTCTCGACCGAACAATCCCAGACAAGAAGGCTTACAAAATGTATGTCAAGTCTTGCGTGGAAAATGACATACCTGTTCGTACATGGCAAGCCTTCAGAAGAAGGAGATTGTAAGAGACTGTGATCGGAAGGTCGCCGGTTCGATTCCCCAAACCAACCAGCCCCCACCTTGGGCCCATGAGTAAGGCCCTCAACCACTGTTCCACATGTGTGTTCACATGTGCGATGGGTAAAATGCAGAGACTTAATTTCACCACCAAGGGATCAATACTATATACACTGCTCAAAAAATAAAGGGAACACTTAAACAACGCATGCTAACTCCAAGTACATCAAACTTTTGTGAAGCACATTCAACTCTGTACTCAATGCGAATATTTCATTGATTAAGATCGGGAGTTAGCGTGTGTTGTTTAAGTGTTCCCTTTATTTTTTGAGCAGTGTATATAGTATTGATCCCTTGGTGGTGAAATTAAGTCTCTGCATTTTACCCATCGCACATGTGAACACACATGTGGAA